TTCTCTTTCTCCCACTGTCTACCCTTCCCATTTTTTCTTTTAAGCGAAATACCTCCCCTTTTTAGGGGAGCCAATAAAATCTTTATTTTTTTTTTTAAAAAGTGTCCATCAGCTGAGGGGAGCAGGAAGTATTTATTTATTTATTTATCATTCGATTTATTACCCCGCTCGAACCCCCGCTAAGGGGTCTCTGAGCGGCTTACACTTTGAATCTCATACCTAATCTATGGCCACAGAACACAGGGTGGGGGGCAATCCCTATCAGCACCCAATGGAGGTACCGGACGGTCTTCGGGTTGGCGTTCCTCAGCTCGATGTCTCTCAGCTGTCTTCTGGCTCCATTTCGATGGTCACTCCTGCGGTGAGTCACTCCTGCGGTGAGTCAGCCGGCGCAGCTGCAGCTCTGTCCTTCCGGCTCCGCCGCGCCTGCGCCGTCCACTTTCCCCACGTCGTCCGACTCCACCTCTCCGCCGCCGTCTGCTTCCGGCGTTCGAGCTGTACCGGGATGCCATCTTCCAGCCGCTTACTCGCGGATAGAAGATAGGATTGGGATATGGCTTGAAGATGCAGCCCACTGAAGTCAGGGCCGGCCCACCCATAGAAAAATTTAGGTATTTGCCTAGGGGTGCCACCTCATGGAAAGGTGCCCTGGCCTGCCTCTCCGCACTGCCAAAAGCCCTGATCCCACTCCTCGCGTGCCTGGCTTTGCAGGTGCATCATCCCAGCCAGGCGAGCGGTGGGCTCCTCAGCCAGAGAAGCGCACCCCCCCCCCGGCTTGGTGACGTTGCCAGGAAGGCTGGCTTGCATCTGGCCGTGAGCCCCCACTCCGGTGCCCCTCCCTCATCAAAAGACCATCGCTATGGGCGCAGCCTGCGGCACTCCCACAGCCCACCCCAAGCCCTTCCCCAGTGCACCTGGAGCTGCCCAGCTCTGAAACTTCCCCCTGTGGACAGTCTTCCTTTCAAGCCTGGCGGCGGTGGGGGAACAGTGGTGAGTGCTCCGGAGGTGGCTTCCGAACTCCCCGGCTTGTGCCAAGCAGCACAAGAAAGGGCCCTGTCTGGGAGTTTTCAGCAATATTCCTGGGCGGGAAGGGAGTCCCAGATGCTTCCGGGAAAGAAGGCTGCATGTGGGCCCCCTCCCTCCTGTGCCCAAGGGCTTCTTGCTCCATCCCCGGCAAGAGACTCCCCTCTTTGCAGCCCCCCAGACAGAAAGAGAAGGAGGCGGGGGGGGGACAGGCATGGGGAACAGCCCCAGGGGGGCGCCAGAAGGTATCCTCGCCTAGTGGGGGGGAAAACCTGGGGCCAGCCCTGACTAAAGTGCAGGATTTGTCTCTGTAGTGGAATAATGCCAGTGTGGTATAGTGAGTAGAGGGCTGGATTAGAATCTAGGAGACCCAGTTTTGAATCCCCACTATGCCATGGAAGCTCCCAGCCTAACCTACTCACAAGGTTATTGTGAAGATAAAATTGAGGAGAATGGTGTAAGCCACTTTGGGTCCCCACTGGTGAGAAGGGCAGCAGGGCATATTTTTAAAAATAAACCTTTATTAGATTTTCAAATTTTATACATTTGTATAAACCAGGATTTTTATTGGCAATCAGTAGCTATTTATTGCATATTTGTGTTGCTATTTATTGCATATCTGCATTGGATAAACCAAGATGCATTGTATTGAAAACAGAGGCCAGGGTATCTGAAGTGCTTAACTTGTTCTATTTCTTTTCTGCCAATTATCCATTTAAATGGTTTCCAAGTTTTAGAAAATACTAAGATTTTTGATTTCCCATGATTCAGCTATAACTTATTAGTTAAAAAGAACTCAAGGCAACGGGTCAGTAAGTGTTTTAAGCAAACTCTGGAATGGGACAGTAATACTGTATCATCAGCATATAGAAGTAGAGGTACATATATAGAGCCAAGTCTGGGGCTATAATCAAGTCCTGACAAGTGAGGGGAAAGATCGCTGAGAAAAAGATTAAATAAAAAGGGAGCTAGAATGTAACCCTGTTTGACTCCCATGTTAGTAGGGATTTTTGAGGTTAATTTGTCTGCTAATGAGGATTTAATTTGACAAGTGTTGGAGGTGTATAACTTCTTGATAAGCATAAGAAGTCTTTTGTCCATATTTAGTTGATTGAATTTAGCCCAAAGAAATTCCCTATCAATTGAGTCAAATGCTCCCTTCAGATCTAGGAAAGTCACAAATAATTCTGAGTTATTTCGAGTAACGTACTTATTGATCGAATGAGACAGAATGGTACAATGATCTAAGATGGTTTTCCCTTTGCAACTGTTCAGGGCCCCAAACTTTCTGCTGCAACATCCAGAGAGTAAGCTTGGCTAATAAATGCTTACTAGACAACTTGCCCATTGTAGAAAGTAAACTGATTGGCCTATAATTGGCAGGAATAGTATGGTCACCTTTTTTATATATCAGGACCACTATTGCATTCAGCCATGCATTAAGAATAAGGCCAGTTCTGTCTATCGTTGTAAAAATGGATGCAAGAGGAGCAGGCCACCAATCCGGATCTGATTTTAGAATCTCAGAGGGAATCATGTCTAGGCCAGGTGCTTTCCCTGATTTCAATTTTTTAATCAATTCTTTATTTTCTTTAGGTGACGCAGTCAGGTAAGTCCTCTAGAACAAACTCTAGTGATTCACTAGCATAAGTTCACTCTTGGTGGAATAGAGTAGAAAAATACTGATACTAAGGGTATGAGGAGATGGCAGACATGGAGGGATCCTCAGCACGGAATTTGCCCAAGATTATAGCCCAGAATTTATTTGAATGATTTAAAGTCATAGCATAGTATAATTGTTCCCACTGGGTATTGGTATAATCATTCATCTTTTTTTTTTTTTAATGAGCTGCTGGAACTGGTTCTTAAGCTTAAAGTATTCTGGTGGCAACATTAGAGCTTTTGAATCACAATAAGGACGATAAATGCTACGTAGCAAGGTTTTTACTTCTCTGCATTCCCTATCAAACCAAGGACTTACAAAGTTTGCAAGGTTATTATTTCTTTTGTTTAAGGTGTCAGATCTTACACACAGTGACTCAGATATATGAAGTATTAGAGTGTTATAAGCTGTTATAGTTGCTATGGGATTAGATACATCTATTAGAGAAGACCTATATTCCAAAAGAGGGATAGATTTAAAAAGTTGTTGAGTTTTTCATTCTGCATGATCATTCCATTAGATCCTAGGCAGTGGGTCAGTATGGCAATACAGTTTGTGAATGTTCATGGGGAGACGGTGCACAAGACATTCGAGGCAATGATGGAGTGATGGGGGGGAGTCACCGTGCTGCTGGATGGAGACTTGCAGCAGACTATGCCAGTGGTGCCAAGGGTAACTCGAGCTGATACAGTGAACATGTGTGTCAAGGCGTCATCCCTGTGGCCACTCATCAGGAAACATTCACTAAGGATGAACATGAGGGTCCACTTGAGACATGATGTGTCCACTGTGGAATTCTCTGAACTCCTGCTAAAAATAGGGGATGGAGAGTGTCCCCAGACCAATGGAAAGGTGACCAGCCTTGGCTTCAGTAGTGAGGACCCTCCAAGACCTAACAGCTAGGATATACCCTGATATTGCCACTATCTACAGAGAAATCCATGGACTACCTGTGCAAGCGTGCCATCCTGACCCCCAAGAATGACAAGGCTGCTGACATTAATGAAACTCTACTGAAGTCTTTCGAAGGGGCAGAAATGGAGGGCAGATCTGTGGACTCCGTAGTGCAAACAGATGACGTGGTCCACTATCCTATGGAGTTCCTCAGCACCCTCAACCCTCCTGGTTTCCCAGCCCACAAGCTTCTCCTCAAAGTGGGGGCTCCAGTTATGCTGCTGCACAGCCTCAACCCACCCAAGCTCTGCAGTGGCACCAGACTCCGAGTGAAGGCCCTCCACCACAGGAATGTCATCGAGGCCACGTTGCTCACCAGCAGTACTGGGGGGAGTTGGTGTTCATACCACGCATATCACTCATACCATCACCTTTGAGTACAGGGGGCTGCAGTTCCCTTTCAAGGTCTGCTTTGCTATGACCATCAACAAGTTCCAGGGGCTGTACAGAAAAATTGTTCCTTGCTTTGCTATGTAAAATAAAATCCTTGGTTCAGGCTGCTGAGAGGCCTACAAGAATCTTCTCAGAGACAGCTAGAGATGGTTCAGAAGTAGATAGTGCACAGTTACCTTGCCAGCTTAATTGTTTGTAGCTGAAATATCAGGGAGTAACAGAATCCAATTAGTACATTCCAAACATCTGAAACTGTGGACACCTGTGTGGGAATGGGTGGACCTATCTGCAGTACGGTTTTGTTTCTCCCCCCACCCCGGTCCATCCTTGGATGTCATGTGCCTGGTGACGAAAGAGAGTTCCATCACCTCTCAGGTGTCTGACTGGCCAACAGGCCTGGGGTCAATCAGAAACCTTTCCCCATTAGTTAGTCTTTGCACTATGTAGTGGAGCTAGGCGTTAGAGACCGCTTGGCACAGAAGTACGTCAGTGGCCAATGTGACATCCTACTTGATTGCAGCCTGGACTGGCTAAGCCTTGATCATCTTGTCTTGCTGGACCTGATTGCCTCGCTGAACCTGAATGGTACCTGGAACCTTGATTCTATGTATTAGCTATGCTGTTTTGTTTTACTTCCTTCACTGTCTAGTCTTGCTTTAAATATTTTTGCACCTTAAATAAATAATTGTATTTTTACTCTGTCGTGGTTTTTGCCTTCATTGACCTCAAAGCCTTTATCCAGAGCCTTGACTTTTGACCACCTACCAGCTAATTGTTTTGTGTGTGGAAACTCAGACTGCAGTCCCACTCTGCAGGGCTGACTTTTCCTGTTAAATCCCTGAGAAGCTGGGAGACTTGGCCTTTCCCTCCTGGGCTATTGGGATAGATCAGAAAGGCCTGGTGGCACCTACCAAGACTAGGGTGAGTTTTAGACTCTCTCTAGTATTTTGTAACTTTGTTTTGTCACACCCTCCTTGTAAACCAGGCCAACTCTAAAAATCTAATGATGAAACATACAAAAATATACATGTATTTATTAAACACAAATTAAAATAACAAATAAGGGCCCATTCATATCTCATATACAAATATAAATTTTAAAAGGCTGATGAAATAGGTCTATTTTTATTTGTTTATTTGTTATTTTAATTTGTGTTTAATAAATACATGTATATTTTTGTATGTTTCATAATTAGATTTTTAGAGTTGGCTCTCTTCTATTCTTGACTAACCTTTTAAGGTTCTGAATTCTAGGTTTTAGGTTCAGGTTTTTTCCCCATTCCCCCTTTTTTGTCCTTACTACAAAGAGGTTCTTCAGTAGTTGTACATATTTCTCATTTCATTTTTTACACTACAGTCTTCTGCTTTGTAATTCCTTCAACAAATGTTATACTTCAAAATTCACCTCATCGATTTTCTCTATGAACACACTTTGCATTATTCAAACACCTTCGTGAAGCTTGGATACAATGCTATTATATTACAAGACCAATTCAAAAAACCAAAAACCCCGTCCTAAACCACATCAAAAAAATTCTTCCCAGAAGTATTATAACTGGATTTATAGCACTTAAATACCATAGCAAAGCCCGGATTTTGAGCTAGTCTACTATAATCTTAGTATAGTTTCAAAGAAGAGCCATAATGACATAATATTGTTTGTTGATAACATAGAAGAAGAAGCAGGAGGAGGAGGAGGAGGAGGAGATTGGATTTATACCCCGCCCTTTACTTGGAGTCTCAGAGCGGCTTACAAACTCCTTTCCCTTCCCCTCCCCACAACAGACACCCTGTGAGGTGGGTGGGGCTGAGAGAACTCTAACTGCTCTTTTTCAAGGACAGCTGTGCCAGAGCTTGTGACTGACCCAAGGTCACATCAGCAGGTGCAAGTGGAGGAGTGGGGGCATCAAACCCGGTTCTCCCAGATTAGAGTCCGCACACTTAACCACTACACCAAACATAGGTTTTAGAGGCCATGTCCCCTGCAGTGAATTCTAAAAATGGTAACCATTTTCCCATTAAATTGGAAAGGCCAGGATGAGGGTCAGAGTGAGACACTGAATCAGCTATTTTGTCCATTTGGAATATTTCCCATACTTTGACAAACCATTCTTTTATAGATGGAAGAGTTGGATTTTTTCCATTTAGCTGTAATGAGCCCTTTTGCTGGCATTAAAAGTATCATAATTAATTCTTGCCTTATTTTGGGGACTTTCTGAGTATCCCACATATCAAGTAAAATAAGCTCGGGGTTTTTTTTTTAACCTGATAACCTGTGATCAAATTGATGTGAGAAATAACCTCACCCCAAAATTGATCAACTAATGTACAATTCCACCAACAGTGCATCATTGTTCCTAGCTCACCACAACCCTTCCAACATCTGGGAGATGACTGAGCATTTATACGGTGTAGCCAAGTGGGGACTGTATACCAGCGAGACAGAATTTTATAGGCTCAGGGCTGTATTTTAAGTGACGGGCAGAGCAATCCTGAGCTGTGCCAGCGCTGCAGCAGCCAGCCACCCGGCCACCTTGGGGCTGTTAGTTGGCTCTCTAAGGGCCAAGTTACGCTGCAGTGGAAGTGGGGGAGTGTCACTGGCTGCTTGTGAAGATGTGTCCATGGCAAGTCCGCTGCAGCGTGGCCTTGTGGCGTACTGTTGAGGTGGGGGCGGCATGAGAGGAGGGGCACTTTGGGTCAATGGGAGTGGCCAGCTCTGGGAAAGATGCTGTTGCATGTGATGGTTGGGGTTGGGGAAGGGCAGCTCGGGAGAGCCCCATTCTCCCCCCTGCCAGGCCCCATGACAGGCATGTGGTCACCGTCATTTGTGTGCCCTGCATGCCAGCATGTTCCATGGGCAAACCCCCTGAAAAGTACTGAGATCAGAGACCCAGCATAGTGAATCAGCTCTTGTTTATTGGATTACATCTGGAACAAAAGATACCTTGGCCGGGCAGTGCCCAGTTTATATGCGTGCCCCACACCCACACACACCCATCACCTGTGATTGGCTCTGTTTACAAGTCAACAGCTTAATAAGTCTAGCCTTGGATCCGGGCGAACCCATTGGTGTGCCCTAGGATCCGAAGTGGCGATTGTCTTAGGATCGAAGGTCTGAAGGCTTGTCGGACCGCATGGCCCGACTACCGCCATGGTGGCCATCTTATTGCTGCTAATACACAACACCCCCCCGAGGTTGGTCAGGCTGAGAGTGTGCATCTGGTATCTGACCCAAGTAGGTCCGGGAGTCGTCCCGATGTGCGCGCGTGCGCCGGCAGCACGTTGCCGGAAGTGAAGGGCGATGTGCTGACGTTGGGGGCGTGGCTGAGCTTGTAGAAGGGGAAAACCATATGGTTTTCCCCTCCGACGAGCTCAGCCACGCCCCCAATGTCGGCAACGTGGCTGCGTCACCTCTGGTGACGCAGCTTGGGGGCGGGGCGGAATTCCCCTGCGGCGGAAATCGGGCCACGGAAGCAAGGGGTTCCCCACCCCCCGGCCCGATTTGGCAACCCTAAACCCAAGGCCACCCACCCAGCTTCTCTGTAACAAGTGGGGAATGGAATCCGGGACTCCCCAGTCCAGCCTCATGTTAAAACCAGAGCAATGAGGTGGCTCATTCACCCAGACCACCCTCTGGCCCCAGGCCCGTAGCTAACTTGGGGCCCACAGGGCCTGGCCCCCTTGTGTTTCTTCTGGGCCCCCTCCCTCCAGGGCTGCCCCCAAAGTGCTCCAACTTACCACCTGCACTGTACTTCCATTTAATTAGCTGGCGGGCCCCCCCAAGGCCCCCTCCCAAAGAATTCCCTAGCTACGGGGCTGTCTGGCCCCTTCCCCCTTCATACAGACGCCTGTGAGGTGAGCGAGCCCTCTCTCTTAGGCATTCATGTG